TGTAAATTTGGAGCACTGTGAAAATATGAGTTATTGTAATTAATATTATTCTCATGTACATGGGAGCTGAGAAATAGAAGTAGCACCCAATGAGGAGATAGTGGGTACAGTAGAAAGCACACTGGCTGTAGAACTAAGAGACTTGAGTTCAAATCCTCCTCCTTGTTTGACCCTGGCCAAGTTACTTCACTTTGAAAGGGAGAAGAACTTGGAGGAGGGAGGCCTAGCAGCATCATAACATGGGCTCAGGATTCAGGGAAGGGAGGGCACACCAGCAGAAATTGGCTTTGGCCAATGGAGTGAAGAGAACATGAGAACTCAGCTCAACTCTAAGGCTAGCAATCTATTGGTTGCAATAATAATCTTATATTCATATAGTACTTTACAACAATCCCTTGAGGTAGGTAGTGCAAATAGGATTATTCCTGTTTTACAAGAATAAGAAACTGAGGCTCAGAGACATGAGGTAACTTGCCCATGGTCATACAGCTAGTAAGTGACAGAGATAGAATTGGAATTCAAACCAGAGTTTTGGCTCTTTTCCCTCACAGTAGCTGACTTTGATACAGGGCCTAAACATTTGCACAGAGCACTACAGAAAATATCAGTATCTTTGATCCTTGCAACAACCGTGAGAAGGCGGTTGAGATCGACATCATCAGTCTCATTTTAGAGATGACAATCCTGAGACCTTGCCGCTGTTGCACAGTTGGTATGGGTCTCATTAGTTTATTTGGTCTAAATGAGCCCCACTACGTGGATTGAAACAGCCTTGTTAGCCACCAGGTGCCAAACCTGTCCTAGAGGATTAACCTAGAGATTTTGCCACCTTACCCACATTGTTTCTCACTCATAGCCTGTTCAGAGAGAAGATTTCAGCCCATGTGGAGCTTTCCTTTGATTTCAATTCATCTCATTTATTTCAAACAGCATTTTCTGTAGGTCACCACTTTGTGAATTTCAGCATCAGATCCAAGTGCTGAGCTTCCCACAGTGTAGAAGCTGCTCTGAATTCCTGGCAAAGGCATTGTGGGTTTTTTGTGTCAGTTCAGCAATAGGGGGTGATCATGAGAGCATGGGGCCTGAGAAAGGGAGTTGTCACAAGTGTGGGGCAAAGGTCTCCCAAACCAGGAGTCCTTCTGAACTGAGAGCGTGGTCTCTGCTGAGAGCCCGAGCACCCAAAATCTCGTCTCTCTCATCACTTCTAGCAAATGCTGGATACTTAGAGAGGGCTGAACAAGGGGGAGAAGTGAGCTGTAGGTCATGGCGGCCTCTCATTGTTTGTGTGTGTGTGTGTGTGTGTGTGTGTGTGTGTGGTGGCATTATGAAAAGAGCAGTACTTTAAAGGAAAAATATCTTATGCCTAAAAACAAACCGTGATTGTTTATGGTGCCACAGCTCTTGGTGGATCTGTGAACTCGGTGTAAATATTTCCTTCACTGGTAGAGATTGCAACTCATCCATGCCTGCCCATGTGGAAAAACATAAGAATGAGATCATATATACATTCTTTCTTCCTTTGTGCTATAGATACATTATTCATTCTTTTCCCCTTTCTCCCTTCCACTTTGCAGATTTAGCACAGTTATAGAAAATAGTATCCTTGAGATGTCAAAAGGGCATAAGGAAAGCCCTTAGCACAGTGGATGGACCCCTTGTGGCCAATTTATGGGAGGACGCAGAGAAAAATCACAAATGAATGGGTGGTGATCTGCACATTGCTTATATAACATGAATTAAGTCTTATATCCCCTGAAGTATTTCGTGTCATATAAGAGACATATATGTGAATTTCCTTTGTTTATATGTAAACAACAAAGCCATGTATTTGTCCCAAATTTTGTCAACTATGGAGGTATGTGGAGGTCAGAGAAAATAGTCTTCTGAACTCCTTTAAAGCATAGGAAATATTCTATAGATTTTTAATAAAGAACATCTGCTACTGAAAATGCTGAGATCTTTGTTCCTCATAAAAAGATTATTATAGATTTGATGAACATAAGCCAGACAATTTTAAATTACTTGCTAGATTGGGATTGCCAAAAATCCATCCAGTATTCAAAAGAGTTATTGCAAAAAGTTATTGCAAAAATTGCAGTTTCTGAGGTAGCTCCAATATGTCAAATATGTTAAATTTGCATTTAAGTGGGATATATATGCATATATGTGCATATATATATATATATATATACATATATATAGTTAGTTAGTGATGAAAGGTATAATATTCATAATTATGATGAGGCTAAATTATTTTTTTCTTCCAGTTTTTAATTGTGACATGAGTCATTCCTGAACTATCTCATTACAATATGGTACATTATTTTATGTATCTTAACTAGTTGGAAGTTTAAGTATAAAAGATGTACTATTTCTAGCTTCCAGTATGTTAACAGTGGATTGTTTTTACTCTGAAAGGAATGAGGTAGCACTGTTTTTTGGGTTGTTGTTGTTTTGAAAGATCCAGAAATAAGGTTTTTAAGTAAAAAGGATTTTAACCTTTGGAGCCTGAGCAACTGAGTTGTTTGATTAATTTGGTCTACACAGCTGAACTTCCTGTTGTCTTCCCTAATTCTGTACTGCCCTCCTGGTTCCATCTGAATGCATCAAGTCCTGTTTTCAGAAATACTATTGCCCCCACTGGGTTGTACAATTTACAGATAGGAATGGCATGTGACAGAAAACCTTGAGGAAGAGAAGGGAAGGAAAGGGGCATATGTTTGAGTGGCCCTGTTTAATCAAGAGGACAAGATAGAGTCAAGACTCATTTTTCTTTCTTGCTGAGGTCTTGAGCCTTCAGATTCAGGCATCAAGATGAAAAATCAATCTATCAACAAGTATTTATTAAGTGCCTTCTATGTCCCAGGAGCTGTGCTAGACTCTAAGGTTACAAATACAAAGCAGCCTTGAAGCATCAGTCAGCACCTTCTAGCATACAATTCCTTCCTTTGTCCAACTAAATATCCGGGGCCTTTCTGCAAGGTTGGACTGGAATTGTCCCTTAAAAGTCTGGAGGCAAGAAAAAGAGTTACTTAGTGAGGCTCCATCTCTAAAGAGGAAAAATGCACACAAGTCTAAGGCCAGGCTAGTGGATACAGTTTTGTTTGGGGACTAGTTGAAAGCATCCAGAACTATAAGGGCCACTGTGGCTTTGGGCACCTTTTTGTTCCATAGTGATACCTCGTCTGCCAACCACTGCAGTCACTAGAGTGCTCCACCCTTTGGGTTGGAGGAACAGTTGTAGCTTGATTCCTTCCTCCACTTTGCTGTTGTTCATTGGTGATAAGCTCCGTTGAATTCCTCCTTTGATACCTCATTACTGTAACATGAATTTTCTGGGGCTGTGGCAGCAGAGCGCATGCCCTATCAAGTCCTATGGAGCTGAAACTTTTTCAATCAGGGGTCTGAAGTTGGATGGTGTGTGCCTTTCATTCAAAGACCAGCTTAGCTAAGTGTGAAAGGGCCTGTCATTATAATAGTGGCCACCAAGCGATGGATTTTACTAGCCACGGTAACTCATGACATGTCTAGCAAGGTGCAAAGGGATTTTGTTCTTCATTGGTAGAACAAACCACAATGATAATAATGGTGATATCTTATACTTACAGAATACTTTAATATTTTGCTAAATGGTGTATATACATTAATTTCAGTTCTGTTCCCTTGTGAGCACATATGAGGCAGCTGCTCTTATAATCTCTATTTTACAGATGAAGACACTGAAACAGTGCTGAACTTAAAGTTGCAGGACTTGAGTTTAAAGCTCTATTCTGCCACTTATGTAACTTGAGCAAGTCACTTAATCTCTTGAGGCAAGAGTGGGGATGGTGAGGAAATCTCTTATTTGTATAATGAGGTGATTAGATTTTATGATTTCTGAGGTCTCTTCCAGCTCTAAATCACTGATCTTGGGAAGTTTAAATGACTTGTCCAGAGTGGTGTAGAAAGTGTATGAGATTTGAACCCCTTATTTGTCTGGCTTTGTGTTCCATCCTGCTGCTCCATACTGCTTCTAAAAATCACAGATATTTTGAAATTCAACTAGTAAATAGAGCCAATGAGTATCATTGACTGAGTACCCTTGTGTATAGATTAGGCTTGGCTTGAACCCCAAGGTGCTGAGGAGGAGAAAGGAATTGAAACATTAGCTCACTAGCAAAGGACATAGCTTCTCTAAGGTTGTCTTCTAAGCTATAACTTCTTAGTCGAAGGATAATAGACTGTTGTGGTTTTTTTTTTCTTAGAGCCATTTCATAGGAAAGCAATTGATTTGTCTCTAAGTATATAAACAGCAAGGAACTGGTCACTAGTGGGGTGCTCATCAATTGGGGACAAATTGTGGTTTATGACTGTGATAGAATACTATTATGTCATAAGAAATGGCAAACAGAGTAGGTCAGAAAAACATGGGCAGTGTTGTATGAACTGATGCAAAGTGAAGTGGGCAAGTCAATTTAACAAACATTTATTAAATTACCATGTGTCAGACACTCTGCTAAGTGCTGGCAGTGTAAAGGAAGGCAAAAAATGATGCTTTCCCTCAAGGAGCTCACCTTCTAATGAGGGAAACAACATACAAACATGCGTACGTACAAGCTATCCGGTCAATTAGAGGTAACCTCAAAGGGAAAGCAGCAGAGAAAATGTTTATGACAACGACAGTATTGCAAAGACAAACAATTTGGAAAGATTTCAGATCTTTGATCAATGAAATGAGCAACCATAATTCCAAAGGGCTTGTGACTAACTGTGCTAACCCACCTCCTGACAGAGAGGTAATGGGCTCAAAGTGCAGAATGAAAGACATTTCTGGCTGTGGAAAATGTGCAAATTTATTTTGATTGACTAAGAATATTTGTTACAAGAATTTCACTTTTCTTTCTCTTTCTCTTTTAGGGGATGTAGAAAGGAGAAAAGATAAATGCTTATTAACTTAAAAATAAAATAAAATGAAAAAAAAAAACGAATTGCATTCATGTATACATTTTTCCCCATGACAGATGACAGCAGCCTCCTGAACCTGACTCCTTATCCACTAGTTAGAAGACGGAAGAGAAGATTCTTTGGTCTATGCTGCCTCATCTCAAGCTAGATAATTCCCATTAAAACTCCCCCAAGAAAGCCAGAACATCAAAGAAACAGATGTCATTTGCTTTTCAGATGGATAAACCACACAGTTATTGGTTATCGACCATGTTTTCTATGCTTCCCTCTTAATTTTCTTCCCTTCCTTTTCAAGAGTTTTACACTTTAATTATTGTCAAGGACCAGAGAGAGAACAGATTCAAAATGGAGAATGTTTTTAAAAGGATTTTTTAGATGACCTAGTGCATGTCTGCTCTGAACTATACAATGACTAGATGCAAGAATTATGATTTTAAAGTCATTCTAAGTTTTTTATGTATTGTATAAATTTCAAATGATTTCATGTACAGTAGCATAATTATAGCTCTTACTAGTCTCATGTTAATACTTTATCATATATGAAAGAGTCTTTAAACATAGAAATCTATTTAAAATTACAAAACTGTGTTCAAGGTCAAAGTTATTAAATCACTAGAAGTAATATTGTTAAGAGAACTTATATTCCTCTCCTATTGCTTTCTCTGCTGTCATTCATGTCTAGTCTTCCACTCTGTCAGAATTTATCCAAGAGCTTCAAAATACACATATCTTAATTTATAATGCTAAAAATATTGAGGCTATTAAAAATTTGTAAATACACAATAATATCGTCATACAATGCACATGAGCATAAGAGTAACTAATTTCTTTTTGATCCAATGGTGTCTTTTTTCAACTTCTTGGAGAATGACATAATCCAGTTAGGAAATGATGTAGTCAACTATACAATTACCCTCAAATATAAAATTGGATTATTATTACATTTGATTTTAATTGAAATTTGAAGCATGGTGTCTGCACATCAGCATAGTGTTAACTCATATAGGGCATGCTGGAATTAGCTCAGATTGTATAATATTTAACATTTTACATTGTTAATAAAAAGTTTTTTAGTTAAGCGAAGCCTGTCTCATTTTAGATGACTATAGAGATAGAAAATTCCCTGGCCGTGCTTAGTGAGTGGTCTTATCATTAGAAAAGCACATGGAATTTGGAGTCAGAGGAACCCCACTTAAACCTTGGCTCTACTGCTTACTTCCTGGGTGACTAACCTTGGGCAGGTCAATGACCATCTTTAGGCCTCAGTTTCCTTGTCTGTAAAATTGGGGAGGAAGTGGTAGACTATATGAATTTCCAGCAGACTGATCCTTTCCAGCCTAGAGTGGATCCCATCTAGGACTCAGCTATTTTGTAAACTTTCAGAAAGATGGAAAGAATGAAGCAGTATTGTGGGACAGGGAGAGGAAGCTTCTCATCTTCCTCCCCATTAACATAGCATGAATTGTACCATTTTTCACTGATCTCTTTTTGGCCCCCTTCCCAGAAAAAAATTCCCGTTCAATTAAAAGATTCCTATTTACCTCCTTTTCCTTATTTTCTGGGTCTGGAAAATTTTAAAACTAGATGGGAGACAACATAGGCAACACTATTTACCATACTACAGGAATGATATTGCTCTGTCATTAGGAAGAACCAGAGCCATACACAACTTTTTCCAAGCTCAGACCTCACCCTGTGATTTTCTTTCTTTCTTTCTTTCTTTCTTTCTTTCTTTCTTTCTTTCTTTCTTTCTTTCTTTCTTTCTTTCTTTCTTTCTTTCTTTCTTTCTTTCTTTCTTTCTTTCTTTCTTTCCTTCTTTCTTTCTTTCCTTCTTTCTTTCTTTCTTTTTCCTTCCTTCCTTTTTCCTTCCTTCCTTCCTTCCTTCCTTCCTTCCTTCCTTCCTTCCTTCCTTCCTTCCTTTCTTTCTTTCTTTTCTTTCTTTCTGTTTTAATGTCTTTTATTTCTTGAGAAAGTCTTTTTCTGAATGTACCAAACCACCCTTAGAACTCTCCCCAATAACCAAGAAAAACAGTTGTACAAAACCAAATGACCCAGCTGTAATCTGACAGGATGTGCAACATTCCACACCTATAGTCTCCTAATTCTCCACAAGAAGCAGGAGCTATGTTTTGCCATGGACTTATGGTGGTGTGAAGTTGATGCTGCAAGTTATGCCAAAGGAGTGTAAGCCTTATCGTATGTCTGTTGAGCCTGACTGTGTGCCTATTGTGCAAGGATGAGCCTAACTCATTTTAAGGCAGTCCACAAACAGAGTGTTGACCACTAGGTGATAAATTTTGGTTTTTTGGCCAAATTGTTATGGTCTCAATCTAGAGTGCTCTGTCATATAATTTGATCACTGAAAGGAAAATCACATGTAAGTATAGGAACTAGACTCATGATTTCATTGGTATAAGGAGCTTCTACTGAGCTACTTCCTTTACCAGTGGAGGTTAGTACTTTCTCTGCAACTTGTAGTCTTAAGGAGTTGCCTGGGGCACTGTGGGTCAGAGGAAGGACTTGAACCCAGATCTCCCTGGCTCCAAAGCCAGCTGCTATAAGTATACAGCAAAAAAAAAAAATCCCATAACTTCATGTAAGTAATCAGTGAGTTCCATCTATAACTTACTAAACAGGGAGTTACCTGAAGCACTTAGAGGTTAAGTGACTTAGGCCAGAAGCTGGTTTTAAGCTCAGGTGTTCTTGAATTGAAGCTCAATACTCTAGCCACTGAAATACTACCTCTATTACACAAAATTACTGCTTAAAAGACATTGGCCTATTTGAGAGAACCAACTATTTTCTAAAAAGGCAACTGAATCAGTGTTTGGGAATATGTTGAGCAGCAGACATGGTGGATTAAAGAGTACCCAGAAAAGTGAGCACTTTACAGTGTCAATCAAAGGAATTTGGGCTTTTCTGCTTGGGAGGAGACTGATGTGTGCTGGTAAATATTTAATAGTTAGTTGACTTTCTTAAAAAAAAACACAAAAGAAAAATGTACTCTCAACCTGCTTTTAAGTTTAGACTGCATTATTATTGTTTTCTCTATCACTTTCTTATGTCCAAATAATCAGCAAAATAATAAATATTGCCCTGATTTGTAGCATTTGCCAATATTAGATGTAAATACTAACACTGAAAATTTAACAACCAACTCTTGAAAGCACTCTCACTTGCCTTCCTCATCCCCATACTTTCTCTGATTCCACTGGAAATCCCACTACTCCATGTGGTTCCACCACCCTGCTGCCTCCATCTCCAGGCTCCAACCTCCTCTTGGTGACATTGAATTCCAGAAAACTGCAGCTGTGAGCAATAGCTTCTGCTAGTGGTAAGTGGGGATGGAGCAACCTCTTTGAAGAGGGGAACACTCAAGGATTCTGTCTCATCATCTTCCCCTAGCATTCCTCTCTAGCCTGGCTAATACAGAGCCATTTGTGAGCTTAGAGAGATGCTCTCTCTGACTGGGGGACTCCAAGCAGAAAAGTTGCAGGCACTTGCTTTATGTGTTTAAACTGAGGAATTGGCTTCCTTTACCTTATAGCACAAGTTTCTTCAGAGTGTGCCTCCTGCTGGGAAGCTATTGCTACTGCTTCTCCAGGATAGAGCAGAGAGGCTGAAACCTGGCCTATGGTACTAAGACTGTGATTAGGAAACATATGTAGCTTAATAATCAGATTTGAGAATAAAATGTGGGAATAGAGATGGCTACAGTATCTAATTTGCAAATCCAGGTTTTTATATAATGACAGGGATAGTCAAGGCAAGTCAGCAAGAATTCAGTAAGCACCTATTACAGTTTTCCTTCCACATTGCCACTTTCCCCATCAGGGTTTCACTGTATCACAGGTTGGCATAAGAAATAAAATGGGAATTTGGGAGGAGTTTTGTGGAAGCTACAGACAACATGTGAAGGGCAGTAGACAGCACAGAAGTTTAGAAACTCAGAAATGCATAAAATATGTAAATATGATACTGTATAATATCAACATATTTTATCTTTTGATGCCATAATAATTCAGAATACTTCTCTGGTATGAAGGGAGGGCCAAAAAATTTTATATGGATTTTCCATATCATGGGGGTGCCATCCCCCTAAGACCCTTGATGTGGAAGGGATAACTGTGCCTAGTCTGGGGATACAAAGAAAGGCAAAACATAGTCCCTGATCTCAAGGAGTTCACAACATATACACAACTATGTATAAATAAGATATATTCACCAAAAATTAGAGATAATCTCAGGAAAAACATTTTGTAGAAGGTAGAATTTTAGTTAAGATTTGAAAGAAGTCAGGGAATGATGGAGGTGAGAAACCAATAGAGACAGCATTTCAGGCAAGAGGGGAAGCCAATGACAAGGTACAGAGTGACAAGATAGGGTGTCATTCAAGGAACAGCAAGGAGGTCATTGTCACTGTATCACAGAGTATGTGGGAGTGAAATATAAGAAGCCTGGAAAGGTAAGAAAGGGCAAGGTTATAAAGGGCTTTAGAAGTCAAGCCAATTTGAGTATTTTATATGTTATCATGGAGGTAATAGGGAACCACTGGAGTTTATTGAAGGGTTGTGAAGGGTGAGTGAGGAAGTGACATGGTTAAGCCTATATTTTAGGAAGATCATGTGACAGCTGAGTGGAAAATGGGCTGGAGTAGAGAGAGACTTGAAGCAGGGAGTCTAAGGCTATTTACAATAGTCCAGGAGTGAGGTGATGAGGACATGCACTAGGGCAGTGTCAGTGTCAGAGGAGAGAAGGGAGCATATATGACAAATGTTCCAAAGGCAACAGATTGGATGTGGAGGTGGGGGAGGGGGAGTAGGGGAGTGGGAGGAGAGAGAGAAAGAATGAGGAGTTGAGTATGATGTAGAGGTTACAAGCCTAGGTGATTCAGAGCATTGTGGTGTCCACCACAATAATAAGGAAGTTAGGAAGAGGGACTGTCTGGGAGGAGGGAGAGATGAGCTCAGTTTTCAACATGTTGAATCCAAGATGTTTAAAATATATAATAATCCATTGGAGATGGAAAACTTGAGGTCAGGAGAGTGGTTAAGGTTAGATAAACAGATCTGAGAATCACCTGCATAGAGATGATCATTGAATCCATGGGAGTGAATGAGATCAACAAGCAAAATAGTATAGAGAGAAATGAATAGGACCCTGGACAGAGCATTGGAGGACATTCACAATCATCAGACACATATTAAATGAAGATCCAGCAAAGGAGACTGAGTAGGGGCAGTCAGGTAGGAGAAGAGCTAGAAGTGTGATAACAGCTTAGAAAGAAGAGAATATCAAGGAGGAAAGGGTGATCAAGAGCGTCAAAGGTACAGAGAGGTCAAGAAGGATGAGGACTGAGAAAAGGCAATTACATTTGGCAACTAATTGGTAACTTGGTACAGAGCAGTTTTAGTTGAGAAGCCAGACTGCAAAGAATCAGGAAGAGAGTAAGAGGAAAGGAAGTGGAGGCACCGATGGTGGACAGCCTTCTCGACAAGTACAGCCACAAAGGGCAGGAAAGACGTAAGATGATAGCTAGTGAGGAATGGGTGAGCAAAGTGAGGGGGGGTGTTTTGTTTGTTTTTGGGGAATGGGGGAGAAACAGACATGTTTGCAGGCAGAAGAAAGCAGCCACTAGACAGGGAAAAGTCAAAGTGAGAAAGAGGGCCATTTCTAAGAATTGACATGCTACACGTTCATAATGGTAGGCAGCAGAGAGACTCAGACGTGTCACTGCAGCTAGTATGCCCCTCAAGAACGAAAGCACCTGTGGGAAATTCTCAAGCTTCCCCAGGCAGCTATTAGGGCCTTTGATGCACCTGTGCACCACGAGAAGGCTCTCTGTTTGACAATGCTGCCATCTACTGAGGGTTTAGCATCAAAACACAAACCCAAACCAAAACAAAACAGAAAAACAGAGGACAGTAACCCTGTGAAAGACCAGATCCACAGCTAACTTGTTTTTGATGCCAGTTTTGGACAACATTGGCAATGACACCACCCTGAGGACTGGAATCACATCCATCCATTTCTTCACTTTATAAGGCCTTAACCAACTGTCAAAAATATATAATTGTT